ATGTTTGATGCAGATCTTCCCAAAAGAACCTGGGATTACTTCTGAAGAACAGATACCTGCAGATCAAGAACAAGACCTCTACGAATCTTCAAAAGCCCAGAGATCCAGAAACAACTCCGATGCTTCTTCTCCGGTACGTACCGTCTTCTCTCTCCTTAATCTCCCAGCTACGAACCAGTAGCTCTGATACCACTTGTGAGGATTCAACCTCTATACCTTGATCTAATCCAGATGAATCTAGAATTCTCTTTCGTTGTTGATAAATCGTAAAACAGAGAGTAATTAACGAGACAACAATTTGATCACCGAGTTCCCCTTCCACAGGTACATCTCGGGTGGACGACGGTGGTCCACAACATCCACTAGATCGAAAAAGATACAAGAGTTTCACGGAACTTGAGCCTTATATTAATGGCGTCAAGTCGTTCTTTTTAGAGAGAGAAAGATACAAAGTTCTGGAAAAACAAGAGGAAGAAGACCACACCTCTGCTTGCCACGACTTCCCCTTTTTATTCATCTTCTGTTACAGATTGTTGAAACAGATTAATCTTATCTGTTTTGGTCTTTGGGCCTTGATGTAAACCGGCCCAATCTCGTTTCTCTTCTGAGCCCAAAACTTTGCTGCTCGGTCCATTTACACTCTTGGGCCTATGAAGACAAAACGACAACCTTATCACACGGAAGAAAGGAGAGGAGAAGGGTATATATAATACAAAGTTTTAAGAAGAGTAATAGTAATAAGGAAAATAATATTTTAGCAAAAAAAATAAAAAGATTTATATGAGGAGAAATTACTAGAAAACAAAAAATGTAGGTGTAGTTGAGAGATTGATTGTTTAAAAGAAGGGAGATGGGCTTTTTGGGTTCTCACGGATAAGGAAAGCGAAAGATGAGGTAAACAGATAAGTGTCTTTCTTTTCTTGTGGTGAATCAGGAACTTCTCTCATATTTTGTTTCTTGTATATTATTCTCCAATTTCGATATTGAAATATAGACATTCATTCATTATTATTCACGTAAAACCGCTAAAGTTGGCGATTTTGGTATATGGTAAGGGTTTTTTTCTTGGGGTCAAATATGTGGTAAGGGTTTATCGAGCCAAAACAATGATTAATATCGAATTGTGAGATTTGCTTAGTTACATCCAATTATTTCTCAAATACAGTTATAGTAAGTCTAATATCGTCCAAGACAATATAGTATACAAATTATCATTTCAATATTGGGTTAACAGAGTGCCTCCTTCTAGCTTATTAACCACAATACATTCCACAATTCATGACCTAAATGTTGTTAATCAACTAGCTAAAAGGACAGTATTTTGGTCTGACCATATATGAGTTTTATATATAGCCTCCAAAGCTATTATCAAAAATTTGTTCCAAACCTAGAAAAAGTATTGGTCGAAAGTTGAAATTTTCTTGGATAGAAAAACAAAACATGTGGTGGAGATGAAAAAGGGATTGATGGGTGTGGATTATATAGTGGATAAGATCCTATCACCAAAACAAGGCTCAAGTTATTTACATTCCATTTTCTTAGTAACCTTATCTATAAACACCACCACTTCGTCTTTATTTCTAATCTATTTTACCTGTTTGTGGCTTTTGAAGCAGATGAGAGAGCCGTCTCTGAGTCTCATGAGCCATTTAGAGAAACTACAACCCAAAAAAGGGACCAAGTTTACGAAGCATGGAGCAATTAGAGCTTTAATATCACAAAATACCATTTCTTGTATGGCCAAAATAGTGAGCTAGATATGAGAACAAAACATCTTTATACAGAGTTCTTGCAAATAAGAACTTATGCTATCAAGCATGACTAAACAAAGAGATTGTAAGCGACTTTATATAAGAAAAGAACTAAGCTAAAGCTAGAAAAGAGGAGAAAAAGAATCAAACACTTTCTCTATACATCTTTTTACAACACATGTGATTCTCCCGTATTTCTGATAAATCGATTAAACAAATACATCGAATATATACATGACGAGCGGCTTCTTCCTTTAGAGATGGGAGAGAGAAAGAAATGGAGGATGTGCAAAGCGTTCAATTTGCTACTTATATGTATTGTGTGCGGGGGATGAAGAAACTATGTCGACATTTTTATGCAACATGTCAACATTCTCATACATCATTATGTCAGACAAAACTATGAAAAAGAAGTCTTGTCTTTATTTACTTGCTTTGTTGCATGATAAACGAACTTAAAGAAAGAATTTCACAAGACGTTAGGATAAAAGAGCGTTTATCTTTGGGGATGAAGAGAGGTAACGTAAAATATAATATATGCCATGTAACTTCTACATTGTGGTTAAGTAGCCACAATCATGCTAAGTCAACAACAGAAAATAGGCATCACAACTATACTCTATGTCAGCATCTCCTCTCTCATCTGCTTAATCCAAACCACAAACCTAATCAGCATAATTCATAGACCGAGAACCGAACAACTAGTGACAATAATCACCACAGAATTCTTACTCTTGTATCACTTGAAGAATGCCACTAGAAGAAGATAGTTCACTTTCATTAATGTATCTCTTACCTCGATGATCATTGACTTCTAAACATAAACGA